GCTTTCTATCCATAATTTGCCAGCGTAAGCAGTGTTAGGCAATGCACAGACCATTAATTTCATGTGCCACTACCCGATATCTCATATCCCTATTCAACCGACTTAAGTAAAATAATTGCCATAGGTCCAATACATAAGCTACGGGTCAGGAATCCATATGTATCTAACAATATATTAACAAAGTATCTCAAATAATAAGCATTAAGCATAAGAAACAACTGAATAAAATTATAAGTCAAAAGGTTTATACAAAGTCAAATTGACATATAGTGCCAACAAGATTGAATAAAGTTCATCACAATACAACCTTACCTAGGAGAATTTAGCTACACATAGTGGAAATTACAATACCAATTAAATAAAGATGAATAGCATGTGAATTCCCTTGAAGGATCGACCTCCAATAGCTTCCAATGCTCTCAAAATCACCCTCTGGTGCTGTAAAATTGTGCTCTTAGTTCCAAATTTTATAACCCTTGTAAAAGTGTAGAAAATCCTGTTTTAAAAGGAATCAGAACGCGCCAGAAAAAGCTCAGAAAAATTTGTCATCACGCGCATTATGGAAGCATCATGTGCGCGATGAGCCATTTATTTTTCTATCGCACACGCGATGTTGCGAGTGATTATTCCAGTAGCTGCGTGTTTTTCACCCCTTTTTCACCAGAATTTCCATTAAGTCTCATTCTTCCATACTTGGTTATTTTTCACTCATTCTTGGGACTTTCTTCATCATTTTGACTCCTCTTTTGATCCTTTTCCCCAATTCTTCGATTGATTATATGTAATGATGGACTGTCATCAGCACGTAAATGAGTATCTGCTTAGAGGTTGAAGGATGACATAAAAGTTCTTCTTCTTTTTCCTATTTTATGCACTTATTTAGTATTTTGTTGCTTTGATCTGTAACACTGGGCTGACGAACATTTTGTTTAGCTATTTGACATTGTTTTGATGTTGTTATGTTGAAGGCATTTATCTGTAACCCTATTTTATGATTATGAAGTTCTCTTGGTTGTTGATTTATTTATGCTGCAATGAGCCATGTTTAGGCGAGTATGTGATGACAAATGTTTAATCTAATGCACGTTTTAAATGACATGTGTTATATAATAGGTTTATGTGGTGATTGAGTGACACCCTATGTGTGTATTTGTGTTATCTTCACTTTATATCGAGTTTTGGGTTTTAGGGTGTTACATAGTGGTATCAGAGCAGACCGCTTTGTATGGTCAGGTTTTTGTCATGTTGTTGTTCCCTAGTACATGACATGTATGTGAAACATTGTTGGTGCTCGTTTGTTTTTCTAAATGTTTGCTTGTAGGAATGAAATTTAAACAAGAGGGGAAGAAGTTTATGCTTCTCTGAGATGTTTTAGGTGTTGAGAGTTGGTTCGTCGTACTGCTGTTTACAAGAGTAATGGTTTTTCGACAAGTCAATGTCATTTTCAGAGTTTGATACCAGTGATGGGTTGTTTGTGCCGACTGAGCAAGTGGACGAGTTCATAGGTTGAAGTGTTTATGATATTAGCTTCTAAGAAGGTTGAAAGCGAAGCTGCAATTGGTGAATTACATGTGATGTGTGATTTTTCAGAAGTATTTTCAAATGATATCAGTCATTTTCCACCGGAGCGCAAAGTTGAGTTCGCCATAGACTTAATACCTGGTTACAAGTCATTTGTCGATGGCTCCTTATAGAATGTCTTCTTTAGAGTTAAGCGATCTGAAGAAACAATTGGAAGATCTGGTTCAGGAGAAGTTTGTTCGATTGAGTATTTCGTCGTGGGGTGTACTGATGTTGTTAGTCAAAAAGAAAGATAGTATCATAAAACTGTGTGTTGATTATTGATAACTAAATAAATTGATTATCAAAAACAAATATTTACTTTCAAAGATTAATGATTTAATGGATCAGTTGATAAGTACTTGTGTATTTAATAAGATTGATTTGCATTCGAATTACCTATTTCTTAAACACACAATTTTCCAAAATAATATAGAGAATTTGTATATTACATGCGATTCGTCTTATCTCTTCCTCTACATACTAGCTCGTGAACAATTATAACGCATGCATGTATTTTCAAATACAAAGTAGTTTCTTGAATATGTTACTTTTATAATTATAGCTATTTATTAAAATTTTATAGTTAGACCCTAAATTAGTATCCTAGATCCACACTACATGGCATACATAAATTTATAGAATCAAATATTTTTTATTGGTCAATATATCTAAGCTTTTAGAAAAGTGAGTAGGTTTATGATTTTAACCCTATAGTGAAAATCTCATTAAAACAATAACTACAAGTGTTATTATATTATTTATATTCATTTATTTTTAATATGCTAGTATTCTAGTCCTAACAGATATATAACTTTTTTATTTAAATAGAAATTTTAATAACAAAATTAACCTTGTCTATTTAAAAAATTAATTGCCTTATATATGAAGTAAACTAGCTCATAGACCTCTTAATGCATTGTTATCCTATCTGTCTTTTAATCATATTAAATGAATTTGCAAATTTTCTAAAGAGCTGCCGAGGGAGATTGGTCCCTCATTTGATTTTTCTTTTTTTTGGGTTGAATTAGAAGTACCAAGGAAAATATTATTTTAATGTTCAATTTAAATAGATTTAAATAGATTACCTCTACTAATTAACAAGATGTATCATAAATCAGGTTAATTTTCAAATTTTGTGATTGAAAAAGATGGTTGTTTTTTAATCGTATTATGATGAATGACAATTTGGTTAAACAGTCGATTCTTGCTACGAATGATCAAAGATATGTTGTAAATTGTGGTGTGAATGAAGACAGAGATAATTTATTTGTAAAATGTAATTTTTTTTATAGATTGTGACCTATTATTTCAAATTGGCTCGATTTCTAAACTGGCATTTTAAGAATAATTATTGAACCATCTCTTACAATTTGGTGGATTAGGTGGTTTTTCGAAGAATGTTCGATTGCTTTTTAATACTATTTGTTTCTATGTGACTTGTGTTATTTTGAAAGAGCAAAACATTCGTATACTTTTCAGAATAAAGAGGAACATTTGTATGCGTTCTCAAAAAGAATAAATCTTCAATCTTATTGGTGGCTAAAGTCGAAATATGTTAATTTTGGTTTTGATTATTAGGTTTAGAGACTAAATATTTTATCTTGCTTACTCACTGTGTTGTGGACCGCTTTGCACTATCTTTTTTCGAAGTTTTGTGTTGTAATTTCAAATTCTTTCTTATCAACTTCAGTATACTTTATGCTGGAATAATTTATTTTAATCGTTAATATAGTTTTCATTTGGGGCTTTTCAAAAGAAGAAGATGGATCTTCACTTCGTAAAAAAGTACTCAAGACTTAAATCTATATTTTATAATAAATTAATTTAAAAAATATAAAGTAAATTATTTTTAAAATTGTAATAATGTATAATTCTTAGAAAAATATATTACTCCTTTGCTCCTAACAATTGACTCATTTATTCAAGAATATTTGAATAAGATGAGATCTCGTGTGAATGTACTAAGAAAGAAGGGGTGTAAGAAGTTGGAAAAATACAAAATTCTTCCATAAGGATATATTCAATACCCTTGTGATATTCAACAAAGATTGTTAGGTGACATGACGAGTAGTATGATGAGACCTTCCCCAAAGGAGAAGGTTCTAGATCCTAAAAAACTCTATGATTTGCCTATAAAATAGAAAAAACATCGTAATCAAGATACACACTCTCAAAACACCAAAAAAGAAGAGAGAGAAAAATCTTCCATGTCTTATTTAGTCACAAATTTGAGCGTTAAAATGTATGTATGTACCATCCCTCTTTTTCTCTCAGTCCTAAGCAAAGCTTTGAGACAAAAATTTTGTTATAAACCACTACTTTATTGAAGATAAATCTATCATCAATATATTTTAATCTATGTTGAATCATTGGTGCCCTATGTGAAAATCGTTGTATATGGATTCTCTTTCTCCCCATTTTCATAATAAAACAACACATTCTAATAACACACATGTCCCGAATGATTGAGAGGTTGAAACCTCGACAAAACCATAAAAGTAACCCAATATGATTCATGCTCGACACCTTTGCCCCCATCTAGATAGTGTTCAATCGGTTGGATGGTTTATCCACCATATCCTATGCCAGCAGACAACTATTCACCCATTGGTAAGATCTGCCTATAAATTCATTTTTTATGAGCGAAAGAGACGACCCTCCTTGAAGTCTTGTCTTCGACAATCACCATTCACCTCCTAACGAGAGTTATTATTTTCTCTCACCAAAAACACCCACTCTTCAAAATCACTCGTACAAACAAGAGAGACCCTTTTTTTAGTTTACAACGGAGAACTAGTCAATGGTGTATCGAATCAATAAATGCATATTCTCATCAAGTAAGGATGGTCGATCATGACGTTCGATGTATGCTTGTGGATCAAGGAAATTCATGTGATATCATGTACTAATTGGTTAAGCTCTTTATATAATATAAATAAATCTTGTGTTATTCTATTAGGATAATTTAAATTTAAAATTATTCAATCAAAAAAATTTTGCAACTTGAAAAAAACCTAGTGGTATTCAAAAACATTATAATTTTGATGGATTGTTTAACAAATTAGATTTCTGAAATATTTTTAAGTTAAATTTTAGCATAAAAAATATTTAGTCATTAACATGAGATTTATAAGAATTTCTATTTCTTATGCTTTTACCCTCATTCTTGGCCTATAAATCAAGTACGATGCCTTTCATTTTCCTTGGTATTCTGGAAACCTACTTTGAACTGCTTCGGAGCAAAATTATCAATTTGAAGAGGAGAATGTTGTCGTTTGGAGGAAGAGTAACATTGCTAAGTTGTGTCTTAACACCGATCCATTACTTCTCTTTGTTCAAAGTTCCTTCTAAGGTTGATTGCCATCCAAAGGCAATTTTTATGGCCGGGAAACTGTGGTAAGATTAGCATTGCTTGGGTAAGTTGGGCGAAAGTATGCATGCCTAAGAGTAAGGGCGGCCTTGGAATTAAGGATTTAGTGTGCTTTAACAAATCTCTGCTTCCTAAGTGTCTGTGGACATGCATTAATGATACTTCTGCATTGTGGAAAGGGCTTCTTGTTTCCAAGTATGGGAATCTAAATAAAAGACTCATGGTGAAGAGGGAACCAGGGAACATGCTAATGGAATCACAGTGGTGGAGAGATTTAATGAGACTTAGAGATTTAATTGAGAAGGGGAGCTTTATGAGACAAGTTTCTTACAAGATTAAGGATGGGTGTCTATTATCATTTTGGCACGCATGCTGGTTGGGGAAGGAGCCGTTAAGGTGTGCATATCATGACCAGTATAATGTTTCCGTTATGAAATGGGATTCTGTCATGGATATAGGTAATTGGGTGGGGAAAGTTTGGATATGGAATCTTCACTTTGGGGATCAAGATTTAATGGGTAATCTGCTTGAGGAATTCACTGAATTGTTGAATTTTCTCATGGAGGTTAGGTTGCACCGAGTGTAGAGGAATGCTTCGATTGGAGAGGTTGCAATTCACAGATTTTTACTGTTAAATCTTGTTACATTGCTTTGTTAAACGCAAGTGCGATATCAGAATGGGAGATTAATCTCAAGGTTGTTTTTTATTTGTTGTGGCAGACGAAGATTCTATTAAAAGCAAGAATGTTTGGTCGGAGATTGGCATTGGATAGACTTCCTACGCAATCGAATATGGAGGCCAGGGGAATAATCTCAAATGCTCATGATATTGTATGTGTGTTATGTTTTAATGCAATGGAATATAATGATCATCTATTTTGTTCCTGCCATCGTACTCAGTTGATTTGGAGGAAGATTTCATAATGGGTGGGAATCGAGTGGATTGAAGGTAATAATGTATGTTATCACTTGTTAAATTGGTTCTTGAAGCTAGTAAGAATTAGTTCAAAGTCAACGGTGTTTATTATTTGGATCACTACGTGCTGGACTATTTGGTGGATGCATAATTGTTAGAACATTGGTTGAGTGTCGGGTTTTTGTTATCGTCTCCACAGGGAATATGAAATTTTGCAGCCTTTCTACAGTTGTTAAATTCGTAACTTTGTAGTAACAAAGTGTTTGGTTTTAAAACAATGGTAACTTTTGCATGTGAGTAATAAATGCGGTAAAGTAATGATTTGAACGGTTTTAATAAATATTGCCAAAGTTAGGGTTCGGTAATCACTTTGCATGCATATTTCCAATCAACATTTAACAAACTCCTTTTAATGATCAATACATCCACAACATCCTCTCAATATGATTATCTCTAACTCATATTGTGAGATTTACCATTTTGATCCATTGTTGATCTCTCACACAATCTATCAAATGGCAACTTTAAAGTTCAACATTATAAGTGAACAAAACATTTCAAGACTATCTCTAGCTCAAGAAAAGAGAAGGATGAAAACCTAGGTCTAGAGTTGGAAAATATTTCTCAATCATCAACCAACACAAAAGATTGTAAATGAAACAAAGTTTTCACCTTATATTAATCATTCAAGAGTTTACAAATGATGATCATCCATACACATACAAAGTTTAATAATCACCTACATCTAACCTTGACAAAAGATGAGTTTAGCTACACATTTTCATGGTAGCTTTAACAAGAAGAAAGGAGAAGATGAAGAACATCCACTTTGAAGAAACAATGAAGGATGTGCTTCCACTTCTCTTGATTACCAAAAGTAGTAAAGATGAAGAAGAACTCAAGTATTTAGGGTTCTAGAGTTATCCAATAATGACTTTTTTCTGATTTTGCAAGATCATGGCTTTTCAAGTACCAAGTATGGGCTAAATAGAGCAACAAATAAAGTAAAATTGATGTGCTGTCTGCGCACATTCGCCTGGCGAAGGCATTCATTCGCCCGGCGAACCAACTTAACATGGCACTTCAAAGTGCCTTTGATCAGCAAACCGCCCTTAGGAATCGTGCATTCGCCAGGCGAACAAAACACTCGCCGGGCGAACATTCGCTGGCTTCACTCGCCAGGCGAACTTTGGGTGGTTTTGCTACTGGAATCTGCATGAGGAAAGCTACCACTTCTTCGCCAGCACCTTCGCCAGGCGAATGGTAGCGAAGCTTCGCTGGAACCTTCGCCTGGCGAACTTCCTATCCTTTGGGTCTGGGAGTTAAATCTGATTTATTCGCCCCAGTTCGCCTGCACTCGCCTGGCGAATATTCGCTAGCACTCGCTGTGGCTCGCCAGGTGAATGTCCTGATTTGCAACATCTCCCAACTGCTTTGCCTTGATCCCAAGTGCTCTTAATAGTGTCAATCCTGCACACTAACAGCAATATTACAAACATTCTTCGCTTGGATCGCATAAAATCAAACTAAACCAATTCAACTACGAAATCAAACATTCTTAGATAAAATTGAGTGAAAATACTACCAAAAAGAAACCAAATATCTAATCTAAATGGGATCTAACAATAATCTAATCATATTCAATGACGCCTTTGGAAATCCATATGAAATTAGGCTTAGGTCGTTCCCTACGTCCTGGTGGTGGTTAGATTTTTGGTTTTCTTCCAAATATAGATGTGGTTATTATGATTGGTTTAAATCTCTTACAGATTTTTTGTAGTTGGAGATTTTAGTAGATAATTTTTTGTGGGGCGATTTACGTTGTTGGTGTTATTTGTAATTGGGTTGGGGTAACCCTAGTACCCTTTTGAATATATTATTGCTTATAAAAAAAATTCTCATTCCTCACATAGGTACATTTCATCTTTTTTATTATTCCATCTTTTTTTTGTTATTTATTTTGTAAATTCATATTTCTCATTTATCTTCTTTTTTCCGACACTCTCCTCTCTCTAGAATAATTGCACAAATGAGATCATTTTATTTCTTTCAATTTTTTACTTATATAAAAATATTTGGCTATGTTGTGATCACAAATGATGCCTTTCGACAAATAAATATTGAGAAACGAAGCTCTTGGTTGAACAATGAAACTGTTAGAACAAAGAGAGAAAGAATAAAGAAAAAAAGAAGAAAGAAGAAGAAGGATTAGGGTAAATTGTTTACTATTCACTTTCTCATTTAAGGTTTACAAATGAATAAAAATTTGTCTCACTCAGCAACCTGAGTGATCTAGCCTATTTATAGACTAACTAGCTAACTTACAATACAAGCTAACTAAACAATTGGATTCTTAACACAAGGCTCAATTCGACATAATAAGTCAACCATATAAATTTCGACATTACATACTAGAACAAACTTCAACTATAATATGTATCCTTCGACTACAACATACGACCCAACTTTGACTTCATGTTTGTCTCTTGTCTAAACACATGAAAGTTATTCCTCGGCAGAGCTAGAGTTCGACCCAAAATCTCACAAATATCCACCTTGGATCTAAATCTACAACAACAGGGACTAAAATAGCTTTCATCATGCAGCTTTATCAACTGCATACAATGGAAAAACTTGCAACTTGGCAACGTCTTAGTGATCATATCAGCAGCATTGTCATCAGTCAAAACCTTCAGCACCTGGACTTCATCACGCCCGATTATCTCTCTGATGAAGTGCAACCTCACATCAATGTGCTTGGTTCGCTCATGATAAGTTGAGTTCTTTGACAGATGTATTGTACTTTGACTATCACATTTAACAGTGATACTTTGACCTTGAAGTTTCAGCTTCTTTGCAAAACCTTCAAGTCACAATGCTTCTTTCACAACTTCAGTGAGGAAAATATATACTGCTTCAGTGGTTGATAAGTCAACAACCTTCCGAAGCGTTGCTTTCCAACTAATTGTTGTGCCGAACATAGTGAATACATATCCAAAAATAGACTTTCTGAAATCCATACAACCTGCATAATCAGAGTCGACAAACCCTTTGATTTTGACTTTGCTATCACCACAGGCTCCACCATAAATCAAGACTTTTTTCAGAGACCATTTATGTACCTGAGAATCTATTTTACAGCTTTCCAGTGCGTCTTTCCAGGATTGGCCATATACTTGCTTACAAGGCTCAAACCATACGTTACGTCTGGCCTCGTACAGACCATATCATACATCAAAAAACCTATTACACTAGCATATGGAATGCTACTCATATAGATTCTTTCAACTTTAGTACTCGTACTTTGAGTAGTACTCAGCTTAAACTGAGGATTTGTTGGAGTCACAACAGGCTTTGAATTCGACATACCAAATTTGTCGAGAAGCTTCCGTAGGTATGTCTCTTGAGATAAGCATAACTTCGACTACTTTCTATCTCTCCGAATGTCAATCCCTAGAATCCTAGTGGCAGCTCCCAGATCCTTCATTTCAAACTCCTTGTTGAGTTCAACCTTCACCTCCATTACATCCTCGACACTGTTGTTATCTATGAGGATATCATCCATAAAAAGCAACAAAATAACAAGTGAGTTTCTAGGTCGAAATTTGAAGTAAACACAGTGGTTGAGCTATCTCCTAGTGAAACTAATGTGTGACATGAACTTGTCGAATCTCCTATTCCACTGTCAATAAGATTGTTTTAGGCCATACAAAGACCTATTCAGTTTGCACACATAATCTTCCTTATCCTTTTCTGCATATCTTTCAGGTTGACCCATCAGGATTGTTTCGTCTAGGTCACCATATAGAAATGTTGTCTTCACATCCATTTGCTCAAGTTCCAGGTTGAACTTTGTCACCATGAATAACAATATTTGAATGGTCCTATGCTTTACAACAGGTGAGAACACATTTTTGAATCCGACACCTTCTTTCTGAGTGAACCCCCTAGCAACCAATCTTGCCTTAAAGCGCTTCGACATAACTCCTTCAATTCCTTCCTTGACCTTGAAAATCCACTTATAATTGACTAACCTTGCTTCTTCAGGTTTCTCAATCAGCTCCCAAGTGTTATTATCATAAAGAGATTTCATCTCTTCATCCATGGCTTTTCTCTATTCAGTCTTGTTTCGACTCCTTATAGCTTCCTTGTAATCTCTAGGTTTTTCCTCAAGTACCTCACTTGCAGAGATTAAGACAAAAACTATAAGATCTGCATAACCAAGTCTATGAGGTGGCTTGATGACTCTTCTCAACCTATCTCTTACTAGTAGGTAGTCATCGACAGTTTCCTCAGCCTCTTCAGTATCTTGCTCTTCTTCTTCGACTTCATCTGAGTTATGCCCTTCAATATCACTATGCTCCACCTTAACAAGAATCTCTACCTGTTCTAGCTCCTCTTCAGAGATTTCTTCACTTTGACCAACATCACCAGTTTTCTTAAACGCCATATCGACTTCATTGAAAACTACATCTCAACTTATGATACATCTTCTGTGACCTGGTTCTAGGCACCACAGCCTATAACCTTTGACTCCCTCAGGATATCCAAGAAACATGCATCTCAGAGCTCTAGGTTTGACCTTATCTTGCCTAATGTGAGCATAGGCTAAACAACCAAATACTCTCAGTATGTCGAGATCAGGTGGTTGACCCGACCAAACTTCTTTA